CTGTCGGAGACCCTCTGCTCACACCTCCTAGACGTCACACCAGACGGGCTTGGGCCAGACAGAGGCTGCGATGGACTCGTCAGTAGTGGCATCAGGTCCTCTTCACGGATGAGTCACTCTTCAGCCTGTTCCACGCAGACGGGAGGGCCAGAGTGTGGAGGAAGAGGTGTTGTGTTTCTTTTTTCCATCAGTATATTATTAAATCTATTCTTGATAATATTTACTTTGAAAAAATGTAACCTTTTAGCTGTACTGATGTGTGGAGAGGACTGATTAGGAATCACTTCTACAACACTTCATATTAGTTGCTCATATACAGTTTACATTTATTACACACAATATGCAGTTGTCATAGCAGCAGAAAACAGTAGTGGAGGCTTTGAGTAAGTTGTTGATGCTGATAACACAAATTGTTACTCCTGATTGTGTCCGAGGCTTTTGCATTTGGATATATCTACTGCACGCATTCACAAACATGTAGATATTATTAAGTTTTATCTGAAAATTTTTAATTTTTTATGAGGTCTATAGGCAAGAGCCGCTTCCAATTTAACATCATTGTGCTCAGAAAACTTGTTTTCCTTGGTCTGAGAAATAATAAACAGATTGTTCAGTGTGATATAACACTAATGGAATAAATATGTTGGAGCTGACTTTAGGTCACAGACAGTAGGTGACCGTGTGGGTTTAGAGAAGATTGAAACTGGGTAACAGAACTGTGTTAAGGATTTAATCTGAATAATAACCTTTGGTTTAAAAATGATTTGAAGAATAGCACTACTTCACCCAGTCTGTTTATACAGAAGCCCCTTTGCTTATAGCTTCCCAATGCTTATATTTGAAGATGCACATAATCAAATATGAACGTTTTAATCTACAGTTTTTTTAAGCTATTTTTTTAAACATCTTAACTATCTGACACATCAGAGTACTAAATAATGTGTGATCTTTTGTCTAGGTGCTGAAAATTAATAGCACCACACTGACGTTTGGACTCCTGCAAATTAAATTTATCCTTGAAAAACTCACACGGTTTTAATAATCATCTCTCCAAATTTAAAAAAAAAGTACAGCCAGAGCATTAGACAATTTCAGGGTCAAAACTATAGAACAAATCAAGTAAAGGGCTGATTATTGTACGTAAACATTATTCCATTTAATTGATAAAGTCAAATAACTGATAACTACAGTCAAATGTTGCCCAAAACATTGAACTTTAAATATACAGTATACAAGATACAGTATATTTTATTACAATACCAGTTCTTATATCAGGTCTACAGTTAACCTTATACATGTATGTCTGAAAACAAGAACTTGTAAATGTATATTTCATGCAACTATTACAAACAATAACTTAAAAAATATGAGACTTTAAGATGCCCAAAATAGTTTTTTTCCTTAAATTCATTAATATATACACTTCAGCCACCTGTCTGTTGTGAGACTCTGCATTGTTGCAACCAATGGCCATCAGAACTGAACATTTCAGCTTTTAGATCTTGCTTTCTGAGTTATTCCTGCATACCTGTCACATACTCAATATTAGATCTTGTTATACTTTCAAGGCTCTAAATAATCTGGCTCCATCTTACATCTCTGCACTCCTCCAGGTTTATTCTTCCTCCCATGGACTTGGAGGCTGGTCCTTTGCTCAATGTTCCTAAAACTGAATCTCACACCTGCTGGGACCATGTCTGTCCTGTCACTGCTCCTTTGTCATGGAAATCCTTTCCTCTGACTCTATGAGAGACAAAGTCTGCAAACTCAAAACTCACCTTTTTAACAGGGTCTATGTCTGATTGCCCTACATTTCATCTGTGTGTGCCTGTATGTTCTTTTTAATATGTTTTCTACTTTTAATTGTACTTTTTTGTCTCTTTGTTTATCGCTATATACAGTGCCCTGGGGTTAGGAAAGGAGCATTCAATAAATTTGAGATTTACAATGGTTTCCCTGCCGTGTTAGGCACTATAGCAATATTTAGCATGCAAAAGGACCCACACTGCTTCATGAGCATTACGTCTCTCCTCCAAGATGGGTAGTATTTATAAACTGATGATTTGAATGTTTCCAAAATGTTGTTAAACGGAAAAATAAAATTGTTTCCCAATTGTTTCGGCAGCTGAACGAAGCCATAGAGTGCTGATGGATTCTGAGGAGCAGAACAAATCAATGGTAGTACTGTCTCCGAGCTGGCATTAATCAGATGAGCCAGACTGGGAAAGCTGTGCGAGCCTGGGTTCACTCTTGCCAGTACAGGCTAGCAGGCGGATTGCCTAGTGAAACACAATACTGCTGATGGCAGTTTTGCAGAGGAAGTTAGAGAGGTTATTGACAATATAAGGTCTAATCAGTATTTAAAGTATCCGTGTTTTCAAATTGCTCACTGTAAGTAAGGAGGACAAATCTGCTGTTAATCTACTGTACCATATATTTTGAGCAATACAGTAAAATTACAAGTTACAAGTACATGTTGGCAATAAATTGCTAGCAGTTCCTAATGGCAGATGTTGTTATGATTGTGTTGTGAGAAATCACCATTAGACTGCCACAGTAGTGAGATTTATCTCTGCATTTTTGTTGTACAGTGATTGACTGGACAAACTGATTGCTAATAAGCCCATAACTGTACTTAGATTGTTGTAAAGGCTACTACGATACTGGTGTTACTACTAACCTAAATTCCAATCACAGTAATAAGAAATATTGAATTTGACTTGTCTGCATGAAGAAAATTGTTGTCAAAAGAGACATTTGCACATTTATGTTGACAAGTTATCATTGTATACTGTAGGTAAGAACACTTAGAGTTTGGTTTAACTTTGTCATTTCATTTTGTCATGTTCCACAGTAACTAATGAAAGAGCATAACAAAATGCAAAGTGTAATGAACCTTACAGCACACAAAACGAGGGGCTGGTTAGCTCAGCAGGTGAAAGTGTGGCCTGGTAACTTGTCTGCAGCTGTAACTGAAAGGTTGTGGAAATTCCCAGCTGAATACATACAGTAGGTACAAATATAAGTCACTTTAGGCAAACTAAAAGTCAGTTTTTGTGAATTTGTACAAAAAGTGTCATTTTTTCAATTCAATTCCAGCTATTTACCTTCCCTAAGCCAAACATACCATGACCATGGGCCCTGACACCTACAATATACTAACCAAGCTCTATATTTGGCTTCTACATCATAGACAGTGCTTCCAAGTATCCAAGTAGCCCCAGAGGGTGACATGATGCATCTCATTTCCCCTGACATTTATCATCCTGTCTTAACTTCTTGGACACAGGCCAGGGACCTAATCCCACAGACAGCTGACACCATGGCCTTACCTGGCTCTGTGCTTCAATGACAGTTGTGCAGCTGCAGACAGCTTAGCTCTTATATTCAATGCAATTGCTCCTATTCTTATTTTAATTACTTAATTGATTGTTAATTGGTTAATTGAGGCCCCTTGAGGCCTTATTTTTATTTTTTAAATATGCAGTCCTTTACTTAGTTAAAAAAGATTACACATCCTCTAAGATTTTCCCAAATCAGGACAAATAAATGCTTTATTACTCAATGCAGAACAACACCAACTTTGAAATACATCATTTTGTATTGTCTGGATCAACAACCTGGGCAAGCAGGAGTGGATCGGGGAAAAACTCTGCAGACAGCTATACATGCAAAATGCAGAACAAAATGCAGTTTCATTTAATCACTCAGTGGAATGAAGAATCAAAACATGGAAAGGAACAAGAATTTAACACAATAACATAAAGATATCTGGAAATAAATGGAGGTCATTTGCCCTGTATTATGTACTTGGGTGCTAATAGTTACTAAGTCACAGAAAAAAAGTCAAACTTGTTTACAGCATCAGCAACATGACAGGATATTTTGCTGAATACAGCCTGTTGATGTTTATAATGTGCACTTCTGTCTCCAGCATATTGTAATGTGTTGCTGCTACAGTATTTATAAACTCCCTTCCTCCAAACTGCTTTCATATTACAAGCAAATTGAACAAATCTATGAACAGCATCTGCTCAGATCATAGATGAAAAGCTTTAGATGTACAGTATGTAGTACTGCATCACTGATCAAATTTTCAGGTTTTGCCCTTGTCCCATACTGAGGCACAGGTTTGTAAACTTGGTTTTAGTCCTGGGTCTCCTATCCTAGTACTGACCAGGCCCAGCCCTGGTAAGTTTCTGAAACCTAACAAGATGAGGCTACAAGGCTAAAAACAGACATCTTTCATAGAATTAGATAAAGGTTCATTCCATGCTGAAAGGCAAACAAACATAACGTTTCAGCTGTGGAACCTTCTTCACCCTTCTTCCTCCTTTGTAGCCTACACATGCTGATGCAGCTAGCATGTTGGCATAGTTTTCAATACACACTTGAACATTTTTCATAGAATGTCAGTAAATGCATTCGAAAAGAAGAGAGGCTAATGTGCTCAGGGGGCACAATAATATGGACTGTAATGAATCTAGGGATTAAAAAGAAGAAAATGAACAATATTTTTGTTCTTTCCAGCATGTCTGTACATGTTTTTCTCTTCCCAAGTTTTGAGCAGCAGAGTAAATGCGTGATTTAAGAACTCCGTTGTCACACTGTCATGGTTTTGACCTTACAAGGTGATGCAGCAATCCAGCCACATTGCGCTCACTGTTCACAGAACTGCCAGATGGAGGACACAAGCTATAGGGTGACCCAGACCTGGCAGACATCACACTAATCCTACTGAACTGACTTATACGCAAAGGAGAGCAGCATTGTGGCATGTGTGGTTATGAGTGCACTTCTGTTATACACTGATGCACTATATTTGCTTCTTTCTTCCCTGTCTGAGCTCTCTACAGTATGTCTGTGGTTTATGTCGGTGTCTAAGGATTGTTGACAGTGTTTGAGTACATTCTTGTTCCTGGATATTCATTTTATCTGTAGTGAGATGATCTTTCTCAGCCCACCTCTGAAGTCTGTTTCCCTGTCTGTTATTTTTCCAGCCGAAGACACAGAAAAGGAGGAACAGCAAACACTGTAGAATCGGCAAATGAAATTCGAAAAGATTGAGACAAAATTCAAGACTTGGCAAACCTCTGTCACTTTAAGCTTAAACATTGCAGGGCTTTGCATGCGAAACTATAAATACAAAATGGGGAAACATTGAGGTTGAAGAGGGTATGTATGAAAAGGACTTTTGTTTATTTGGACACATTTGCATCCTGCAGACAATGTGAAGAAGCAATAAAATGACAAAATGTTAGGATATACAGTTAAAAATGTAGATTTTAAAACAAGGGATTTCATTCTGTTATACTAAAATTGTTTGACACACTAGTAAGTCCTCATTTAGAAGATTGTGTGAAATTGTGGTCACCACATTATACAAAAGATATTCCTGCCCTGGAATCAGCCCAGAACAGAGCAGTCAGATACACTCCAGAGCTTAAGCAAATGTCCTGCACTGACTGGTTGAAAGAACCAAACCTATTGTGAGAAAAGAGACTACAAAGGGGACCTGATACAAGTATTAAAATTCTCAAGGCCATTGACAAAGTCAACTGGCAACACACCTAATAGTGTGGGTTTGCGTTGAGTGCCTGAGCACCAGCAGAGCGCTTCTTTTCCTTAGCCAGGGAGCGAGCGGTGTGCCGGTGGGTAGTCACATCGTAAGGAAGAGTCTTTCCATTGAAGGGAAAAAGAATAATTTAGTAGCCGTTTCGTTTGAACGCTGGTTCAGAGCTTGAACCCTGTCCGCGATCTCATGGGGATCTTAAATAACAAACCCGATGAGCCTCAGGCACTGTAGCTACACATTCCAACGGGCCACGGAGAAGGGCGTGCAGTGGGATATTGGGATAAACTATTATACATTTTTTATTCTTACACGAAATACTGCTATTTACACTTTTCAGTTTAGAAAACTGCTATCACTGTACTTGGCAGTTTTCACTTGAGTTTTCAGAAGCCATTATTTGTCTCCGTTTCTCCACACAGGGGAGCTTTTACTTAAGTGGGCCTCTTTAAACCTTTTTATCAAGTAATGTTTTCCAAAGTAACTTGTCATTTGACTGGTCAATACCTTTCACCTTTGTGTGTAACATACCAGACATTCTAGAGGAAGAGAATATCTAATACATTTTACATTGTACCCCTTATTGCAATGTATGTTCAAGCAACATATACTGTAGGTAAAAACAAAGTAGTCTTACCCCATTGTAGCTGGATGAAGGACTACTAAATGGTTCCCCTCTGTAGAAAGGGCCCTTGTGGACGTTACAGGGTATTAAGAATGCCTGCTCTTATTCTAGATCCAGATTCCTTAGTCTTCTAGTAACGCTTACAAGATAAGGAGCTATACTTTAATATTACACATCATGTCTGTAAAACCCGAAAAATATCACAATTTTCTTTTGCTTTTTCACATGACTAATGGGCACACAAAGGTGTGATAAAAATACAAAGTTTGTAACACAATATTTAGGGGCTGGGATTTTGTTTGCTTATGACATTACATTATTGGTTGTAGAAAATATAATTTTCACAATATATGATAAGAGAGTTAAGAGTGGTTATGGGTTGCCTTAATCTTATGAACATGTAGGTCTACTATATGCCTACATAGCAGCCTACTCTTGAAAAGGTACACAAGCACAATGTTGAATTTACTTTTATATTAAAGTAAATTAAACCCTATAAAGTATTATATTATTATAGTTAAAGGCATTTCTGTGGAATGTTTCTCTGTCACAGTTGCCTAGTCACAGCCATACGTGAGTTAAACTCGCTGGTTGCTGCAGGGGGTAATGCAATCTTCTGCAGTCCAAAAGCACCCAAAAGCTAGTACTTGATTTATACTGTCAGACTGTATTGATGCAACCATGCAGAGCCTATCCATTAGATCTGAGCAACCACTTCACATTTTATCACAACCAACTATTAAGAAAACCAATCATGTGTAATGTAAGATAACCAACGTGAAATACCCAGTGATATTGCCTGGAAAACACCTTAGGCTTTTTAAATAATCTGTGTGGAATTACTGTGCATGCTTATATTGCTATGCAGAAGCTCCTGAATGCCTTGAGGTTTCAATGTTTTAACAGATTGGCAATTGCTCCCCTGTAATGTATCAGAGCAGACACATGGAATGTGCATGCATTAAAAAATCTGTCTACATTCTATCATGGAACACTGGCTAGAAATGTTTCGTGTATCTAAAGCCATCTGCATTATTGTGGAGGTGAATACTAATAATATCAAATAAAATCAACTGTGCACGCAGTACTGATCTCAAAGCCTCAAGGAACAATAACCTTGCAATCGCTGCGAACTGACTAGGTATTCAAACTCTGCATAGGAAATAGTTTAAGAACTATGATGATTCTATGATGATGATCACAGTGATGATTCTATGACTAAATCAGTCAAGGTGCATGACCAGTGGGCTTCAGTCTGGGATTTCCTCAAAATGCTCAAACTTTCAGCAGAACAGGGGCTACTGGGACCTGCTGGGAACTGCTAGCCTGAGGTGATGTCAATGAGGGACGCACTGCTCCTCCAATCAGGAAAGGACTAGCCCCCCAGCAACTGAAGAATGGCTCTGGACAGGTGGGCATGTCAGAGGAGTGTGAGCACAGGTCCTCAGTGGGCATGAAAGAGAAAAATAATGGGTGATTCCTTCCCAAAAAGAAAAAAAAATAGAATTATCCTTAGCATCATCAGACTGCCTTTTCGGGTATTGGGCTGGTAGTGTACTTTTTGAAACCTTAGATGGATCTCTGTGCAGATTTCTTTTTTTAACCATGGCAAAGTGACTTTGAATTTGGCGAGAATGCCAGATCTGTAGTCTTGTAAGCTGATACAAAACCTGGGAGTGTAACTCATTCCCTCCACTGCATCGTTATACAATAAACAGCAGTGACACAAAAGGCAAGGTACAATGGGGTTAGAGAGCTTATTTTTTTCCTTACATTTCGAGAGTTTTGCTTTTGCTTTTGTTCTGCAAATGGAAGTTCACAGCAAAGGTTCAAAGGGAGGACAAGCATCTGATTCCCCGAACTGTCAACAGTACCGGATCTATAAACTGTAACTAAGAGAAATCAGTCTTTCCCTCTGGCATTGTCTGTGTGATCTTTGGCCAACCTCAATTTCTCTAGCCGTTTCATGCATAGAGGCAGGTTTTCTAGCCAAACCTCAATCACTCCAAGGAGCTAACCATTTGAAACACTGAGTTTTGTTTTAAGTATTACATTTTATTTCATTTAAAGGTGCTCAATCCATGTGCATTTAATGACTCATTGAGCAGAGGTTTATGCACAGAGTGACACCTGTACATCAGGATAGCAGCAGAAGTAAGCAGCGTAGGAGGTCTCATAACACACATATTAGTACTTCCAGTGACCTTTGCAAAGTGTAGAAATACAGAAGGAAATCAGAGCAATTACATATTCCAATCTGGGATAGAAATAGGAATCAAATAAGAAGATAACACATTTGTCTTTTGGCACCAGTAAAGCTGTGCTACATACCTGTAAATTAAAACACAAGAGCAAAGCTTTAAAATTCAGTATTCAAACCTATCTGAATTTTTTATTTCACTCTTTTGAGTGGAATCTTATAGGCTAGATGTTTAACAGTATGAAGAAAAGAAACATATCTTTCAATGAGCAGCTGTACAGATTTCTATAAAAAATCACTCAGTGGATTCAACTATGTGAATATAATTAGCATACAAAATAGAAGTAGTTTGTATGCATTTGGTAACTAAATGTTTATGATTACTAAAATAATTCATAACTAAATGTTTATGATTACTAAAAAAAATCATATTTTTGTTTTTGTCAGTTTTGACAATGTCCTCTGTGAAATAAGCAACATATATTAAATATCCCTTATGTAATGCCAGCTGATCACATCTGAGTGTAATATTATGAGCTTTTATAATATTCCTGTACAAAATACTAGATCTCACATCTTCCACCACCTCACATCTTCTCACATCTTGTTATCATCTGCGCCTGAGAGGTGTGACAACACATGCATGGCGAAACATGTGTGCTTTGGGTCTCCATGGTAAAGGTGATATTTGCAAACAGAAGCACCACATGGATGGTGGTTTTAATCACTGCAATGATGCCAGTTTACAATTCACAAGCAGTCACCCAATAAGGAAAATACATTTAGCAATGTTTATTGAGACAATGGGCATAATAAACTGTGGCCTAACCTGCTTGACTGAGGATCAACCACCTGGCTGTAGGATGAGGAGGTCAGGACCTCCATACAGAGAGAGGAGATAACCAAGGGGCTTAACGTGAAGATAAAGGCAGGGAGGAGGAAGGATGGAAAAAGACGAAAGTGAATGATAGAGAGAGGGTTGCTATGGTGTTCATAGTGTTTCAGGAAGTGACATCATGGAGAATTCCAAGTTAGAATAGCAGAGTTGAGGGATTGACCTTGGTTGCCGTCATCCCTCCTGATTTGTCATTAGAAACTCTATTTGGCATGTTGAAAATTGAAAGGCAGAGTTTAGCGTATGTTGAGCAATCTAAAACAGTTAATGTCAGGGACTGCTTTCTGTAAAACCACTTCAGTCTCTTCTGTACACAGCACATTTACTGTAATCCTACAGCAGGAGCAGGCTGTCGGAGATATAAACAGACCGCGTAGCTAAGTCTCAGTCAGCTACAATGTAACATAGTGCATGACAGTTACTGCAGAAACAAGTTACAAGGGAACTACTTAAGTTTCATCAGTGAGTGTATTTCTTCAGTTGCAGGGAAGGAGGGAGAAACAGAATAAGATTGTAGCAAAGGCTTTCTATTGCAGACTCCTTGAAAAAGCCTGTGACACTATATTCACTATATGTACCAATCTCCATTGACACTATAGTACTTAGTCCTTGTATAATTACAAGAAATGCTTTAAGCCTTTGGTTTCTGGACAGCTGCAAATGCTACTTAGTTTAACAAGTAGGTCATTGTGGCTGCTTTGATTTCTGAAGGAGGACTGACGTGCATAAAAATGAAAAAAAACAAACAACAGAAAATACTACAGAGATGCCCTCTAACTGAACTCTGTGACTAAAGATTTTTTTTTGTCCTGTTATATTTTCTCTGTTTGTGGAATTTTGCACAGTTTTGATTACTTGATTACATGTTATTTATGTTATGTTATTACATGTTACTGTTA